TTAAGATTTGGCGTTTGAAGTTGACGTTTGGCGTATAAATTTCATGCTGGAACTGCTACGAGGGCTTGCTTTCTTAAATCATTGCTAAAGAGCACAAGTTTAATAAGTTTAACATATTTCAAAACTGGTGTAAAAGCAATAATAATAGAGTTGTAAAATCAAAAACCTCGCTAGCGGTTTGACGTTTGCCGTAAACGTCAATCTTAAGGTGTCTAATGACGTGTTTCCTCAGGTCCCTGGCGGGAATCGAACCTGGGCCGTGCGATTCTGGTGCAGCGCTCCCTGACCAACTGAGGCCAGTTGTCGAGCTCTAAACACCAAGTCATGCATATATAATATAGCCGGTACTGATATAGGCACAACAAAGATAGACGTGCAAGGTTTTCGGGACTGAAGATAGGAATGCCAAACGCTGAACACCCGTGGGGCATCGCTTGGAGCCATATTTGATCTCAAAACGTACATCTAACGGTACTACAGAGATTAAGATACCTCGGTTCTGGTTTCAGACTGGTTTACGGGTACGGATAGTTCTATTTTGTTTAGAAATTTTGAATTGTCATCGAATTTATCATAAGAGTCATGATTCGGGCATGATGCGAATTTTGCCGGTAAAGGGAACATGTTGAGGTAATGTCTAAATGGGATGAATCGGAGGACAGATAGTTTACGAGATGGTGCCAAAATTGAAATACCAGTAGGGGTTGGCGTTTTGCATGCGGTATTAAGCCTGCCGCACACGAGAGCTATCTGCTGAGCAAAAAGTTACTCGTGCCTGTTAGCTCAGCCGATAGCTCACCGTGTGCGGGTACATTTTACTGAGTTTTTTGCCTCATGCAACCTTTTCTCACGTATCAAACATGTTTGATCGGTGAGCTATCTGCTGAGCTAACAGGCACGAGTAACTTTTGGCTCAGCAGATAGCTCTCGTGTGCTGCAGGCTTTAGGGTTAGTGTGGGGGTTAGGATTAGGTGTGAGGTGAGGCTAAGGTTTAGTCATTGTTGCAAATTGTTGATTCTTTTACGGTTTTTTTTTAAATGATCTTAAAAACTGGCGGTCATCTTGAAAATCTGCTCTAGTCCATCCCCTTTGAGCCACGACCCTGTAGTTTTATGTCACGCAAAATTGTCAATAAAGCTACAATCTTGCCTGATATAAACTGGTTGACACTCCGATCCGCCTGTTTTTAAGATCATTAAAACGTAAAAGAATCAACAACCATCACCCGCCACTTGCGACAATACTAAACCTTATCCTCACCCCACACTTAACACTAATCCTAACCGCCACCGAAACCCTAATACGAACGCAAACTTTTATGTCTTTTATTTCAATTTTGGAACCATTGGTTACGCGCCTAACCTGCGAACGGGCATACTCTGGCCTACCATCGTGATAACATCGGCGTGCTCCGGATTTACTTCGGAATAGGTTAAAGGTCAAAAAATTGCTACAAAATATAAACAAAGAATAGAAACTCGTATCAAAAGTAATTCCAAATATTCTTCGAGACTTCGAAAAAACGTGGTATATGCACTAGAAATAGGCAGAAATTTTGCTAGGTATGTACTAAATATCGTAGTTCTACAGATATTCAATAATAATGCCAATCAAGGGGAAGAAAGTTAAAGGAAAACAAAAATCAAAAAGCGAGCCAGAAAATGATGGCTGCATTATTGAGAACCCCCAATCTAGTACGATTGTGAAAAGAATGGCTTCAAAAACATTGAGTTCAGGTGCCAGAAAGTTGGGGAGTGATGTGAATGATGGTCAACATCAAGTAGAAACAAGTCAATCAAGTTTATGGCTATCTAAAACAAAGGTATACGAAGTTTAACGGTGTTGCTTAGTTGCTATACACTTAGTTGTTTATATATTCCATAGCGACTGAGTATTGAATATTAAATTCCCGCATTCCAAGGGAGAAGGAAAAATGAACCTGGCTCTAATGATTGTGTGATTTGATAGAATGCAACCAACCAGCTATATTAACAGAAAGCTTGCAATATTGTAATATTAATATCAGACAGTCTAATTAGCTAAATTAATTAATTGCAGAATATTATTGTTATATCAATCAATCAGAAGAGCCAATTTTGTTCAACAGTGGTTCAAAGGTGGTTACACAAACCCTGGGTTGAAATTTGCTGTTTGGGTTTGTGCATTACTGTGTGCTTGTTTATTTCAAAACTTAATTCAGAAAATAAAACCAGTATGTTGATCGAAACAAGTTTTCTAGAAAGATATTTCCATGTTTATAAACAGGCTGCTAGGAGGATTGTTATGAAGATTTTGTTAGCCTAGGGTTAAGCCAAGTAGCTAACCGACTTTTGAGCAACTGGACCTTGATGTTCAACTTTATGGGAGACCCTGGTGTAAGTCTGGGGTAGTATCTGTACGATCCTTGGTAAGATCTTCTGAATCCTGAGTACAACAGGATCATTAACAAGATCCTGTGGCATCCTGTTTTCACTGACTAAGGGACAAATCTTCCAGCTTACTTCATCCTCACAGATAAAATCTAATAATTAATTACTCTTTATATAATCACCTGGAGTTATATAGAAACAGTATAATTGGGTCAATTTACAGTGATGATGGATCAAGACTCCATATATTATATGATGGAAATTCCTGCTGTCTGGAGTAAAATGTAGTACTACTAAGATAGGGAAGGGAATTACTTTCCCATTCCTCTGAGTGTGTGTTTTGTTGTGAAATGACCCATTTGTATCATTTCTTAAGTTCTCGGTAGAAGACTTATTGGACTCAGACAACAAGACATTTGGTCGTCTTATGAATGGAGAAGTTCGAAGTGATGTATTTGAAAGCTTAACTTTGGAGGAAGTGAAGGATTTGAAATTGGTATTCGATGCATTTGACAGTGACTGTACTGGGTAAGGACTTTTAAATGAATCAGTACAGGCTTGGAGGCATAATATTGTCCATTTTGGCTTAATTGCTGAAACTAAAACTATTGGTGGTGACTAAAAAAATGGACAATCTAAAAGTAACCATTAACGTTTGCCTATAGTACTAATAAAGGATGTAATTTGTCCACATTTTTAGTCACCCCTGTTAAACAAATTTCGTACACTTCATGTAATGTTGTATACAAAATGTCAACTATTATGCTTTTTGTAAAGATCCATTGAGTTTATTGAGCTTCGAAGGATCCTGTATTCGCTGGGATTTAAAATATCTGAAGAATCTTTGAAGAGAATTACAGGTACAATGAATGGTTCTGTTTATAATTCACAGTAATTGCATGGCCGTTACGTATACTAAAATACTGAATGTTGCTTTTCTGATCATTTACAGGCAGTTTTGATCTTGAAGATTCTGGGTAAGGGGTTTAGTTGCTTTTCCCAAATATAGTCCATCAATATCCTTACGTAAGAAAAAAATTATAGACTTGTTACAATTATAAATTATAATGGCCTTTCATTTTATATATTTAATTGTCAAATTGAACATTTGATGTTAATATAGTAGTTCTCATTATATTCTATAATATTTAGACTTGTAAATGTGGATTTTGGTATATACAATATGAGCATGCAAGCTCGATCATGACTATACACAAAACAGTGCAAGATCCCTTTCTTTCTAAAGGGAAAAATGCCACGTCACCAGGCATTGACCTGAGAAACAGAATATTTTTTATTGGCCTAAACATTCCATTTTTCCTTCCTTTAATGGCATTTTTGCACGTACCTTCTAATAAGAAGTAAAAAGAAAACAATCTTATATTTGTGTTGTGTAGGAAAATAGACTTTAATGACTTCTTGGATGTCGTTATTTCAAAACAGGGAAGTGACAGAGATATACATTCTGAGATCATGCAAGTAAGTTTGAAAAAAAAACCACTCGGCATAGTGTAAATTGCATGCATAAATTTTGAAAAACAGTACAATTCGGAACAGCATTTAAATTAATTTTAAAAACTTATAAAAGACAAAGAAAATCATTGCGGTGTTGGTGGTTTTATAAGTGATAGAAAATTATGTTCAGTTCCATATTAAACTTTAGCTTTGATTTTCTCGGCTTGGACAATGTTTATTTTTAAAATTACTTCGCCAATGAACTCATAAGATGGGTCGTTTTTTAAGTCATCATTTAAAGCACTCGGTAGACTTGGGGTCGTGCTTTATCACGTATTAAAACACTCGTGCTGCGCACTTGTGTTTTATATCTGATAAAACACGTAAAAGGTAGTTGGGCGCTTTTGTAAAAATGCGTAAATGAAAGCAACCGGCGTTTGTGCATTTGGGCGCATTTCGCGTTAATTTTGCGCTAATTTTGCGCTAATCAGTCCGTTTTATATTCTACTGATTTGTTTTGTTCTATTTTGTAGGGTTTTAACATGATTGATACAGGTAAGTAAAAGAAAATAAATAAAAAAAAACGTTGCCTTGGTTAGCTGTTTTTAATACATCCTTTCGATAATTACGTCACAACTACACTGTTTTCAACTTAGGACCATCTTAAATGGAAAGGATTTCAAGTTTTTTCTCATGGGCTATGCACAGAGAAGCAGAACATCCTTCTTCAATCTGCAGTAATAAATTTACGTGGTGTTTCCACAAACAAAACTATTATATTTTATCGCCATGCAAACATACAAAGAACTTATTATCAGACTTGTTATAAGGTTGTTCTGACAAGTCTGATACAGTCATGATATAACAAGAATGTTACAAGGTTGACGACACAAGGTTGTAACAATATTCATTTGTTATATCATGACTGTATATCATCAAGGTTGTTACAAGATGCAAACAGTTTGTTCCAAACTTGTTGACAACTTGGGACAAGCAGTGCGGACACAACTTGTTGACGACTTGTTGGCAGACTTGCTACAAGATGTGCATGAGCTAGATTTTTACATATGCATTTGGAACATTCACCAACCCTTTATTTCATCTTGAAATGTCCCCCTGTATCAGTTCGTGACTGCCAACTCTCATTAACTGTGCCATGGTTTAGGTTTGAATTTTGTATACAAAATAGCTAGCTAAGAGCGCTGTCTTTCTTCACACTCAGACAAAACTGGCAAGATCTCATTGGATAACTTGCGCAATGTATGTCGTGATCATGGTGTGAAACTGAGCGACCAGGAACTCAAAGATATGATACAAGAGGCAGACGTTGATGGCGATGGTGAGGTGAATACTTCAGAATTTGTACAAATTATGCAAAAGACTAACTTATTTTAAGGAGAAATTACCTTGTTATCGAGAATGGGCTTTGAGATAAGTAATGATGTTTTCCAGTGGTAGACACGCGGTGGGGGGCAGTCAGGGGGGGGGGAAACCGCTCTGAATTTTAGTTCATTCATTTATCATTTGATTTAATATATTGCTTATATATGTAAATATAGTTTATTACTTATTTTAGCTAGTCATACGGCTAGCCTATTGGAAGATGATCACTTTTCTTTGTTTTGTAAATAGTTTTAGTGAAATTATAATAATGATGATCAATTTGGTTCCCGCTTCCTATAAGTCTTCTTCTTCTCCTTAGTTCGTGCAACTAAACTTTAATGGCACCTCTTTCTATCCGTGAGGAACGCGTGTATCTATACCGAAATATTTAGTTGAAATGAAAGATTTTGTGACAGACACGCCGCTTCTATTGTGAGTACTCGAGTTATTACGTACATTAATAATGATGGGAAAACATATTAGCTGATCATTAGCGCAAAACACGTCCATAATAACACTGCCAATAATCACTTTCTGCATGTGTATTGTTTGGACTCCAAAAGGACAAGCACAATGGCTATGTTGTGCCTATGTTTATCAAAACTATTACAAATGGAGTGAAATACTAAGAGTATAGGAAAATAATAGGACCAGAGGCCACTGATCTATAGCTTGGAATTACGAAGATAAGTAATGTTCAACTTCATTGGTTTAATAAGTATGGCATACAACTGAACACAAAGTCGAATGTGCTAGGCAAATCGAAGGATCTTATAAAACACCGAGGGTTGTAATGAAGAATAATTTGCCTTCTGCGCGATTCTTGTACGAATTCGACACCGTTGACACGTTGGCATTGAGAAACATCTCCGAGAAGCGAAAGCTTCAACGGCAACTCGGCGAACTTGACAAACAACTACACAGCAATTTAGTGCGAATGGAATCGGAGATTTTATCTCTTCGCTTGGAGAAATGTGAAACTTCGCCAGCAACGAAACAGGGAAAAAGAAAAGTTATGGAGGGTAAAAGTAATGTTAATAAAGGTAAAACCAAGACAAGAGTGAAGGAAAGCAGTCATGGAGAAGCGAAAACCAATTCCTCAAAAGTGAAAACAAATATGGCTGACTTTACAGACGGCATTAGCGCTAATCAGGCAACACAAAATTTTTCTTCCAAAAACACTTTGCCGAAGATTACAACTTCGTCTTATTTAACAGCGAAACAAGAACAATTCAATGAAAACCAGGATGGTGAAACGGACATGATAAACGAGAGTTTCTCGCTGGAAACAATTTCAGAATTGGGGCAAAAGCAACTGCAAGCTGAGCAGCGGATTTTAATGTCGCTACAACGTCCGCGCTCAAAACTAAAAATGCAAACTGGGTCCATCAGCCGACCTCCAACGCCTCAGGCTTCGAATCTACTGTTATCACCGCTAAGACCGATAGATAGGCAACGTAGGGCTAGCTCGTACGGTCAACTTGCTCCGTTACCCGACGAATACGTTACTAAAGACAGATTTATTCGGGCGTTTAGTGCTCCTGATGTAAGCGAATCGCTAAGTACGAGCGACCTTGGACGCTTAAGAAGTTTAGCTTATGGACAAAACCAAACCTCTGTTAGTCCAAATGAAGTCAAACGATTCAGAAGTTTACCTAACAGACAAAAACAGATTTCTGGCGAGGTAAAAGGACCCGTTACTAATGAAAATGGTAGCTCCAAGCCTGATCGTGTAGCGAAATTGAAGTTGGATCCGTTAAAAACACGAGGATCTGAAACAATCGGGTCGAAAACCACCAATTTTGATGAAGTGCTAAAAAGTCGGTTACAGTTGTTGGAAAATGGCGTGCCAAACAGAGAAGATTTGGAAAAGATTCGTTATTTGAGATTGAAAGATGAGAATGAAAACGCCAATGAGGTTGAGGATATTTTTGCTATTTTGCATCAGAATAAGAATGGCTGAGTCGCGATGTAATTTATCATTTCATGTCAGGATAATGAGTTCTGGTCAATAGTTAACGTTCGGTTCGCACGATAAAACTTGGACGATAGAAAGGATTCAGCCATCTTAAATCAGTTCAGTGCATGTTTACACCACACGTGTAAAAAGGGGCAAGTCTTTGAAGTCCTCTTCAATTCGGGAAGTGTCTTTTGTGATCTTTTTAGAATTCTTGCCGTCATAGTAGGGATTATTTTAAAGAAATTTTATCACTGCACAAAATACATAAAATAGCAGCATGTTATGCAGACAGCAATAGACGTTAGCGTTTATTCACTTTTCACCCAATGGCCTCGTTTTCATATCAAATACTTACTTATGTTTTGTGCTTAGTAGGGTTGAAAATTACTTTGTTATTGAATATTGAGCCTAAGAACAGCAAGAAACAAATTCGTCCAGGAACAAAACATGGGAATATAATTTTCATCTGCCCCTGACGTGCTAAAATAAGTTAACATGGAAACGAGGTCATTGGGTAATATAGAATAATCGGTAAGGTCTATTCATTTATCACTCGGTATATCGGAATTGAAATCATTACCTATTGAACTAATTAACAATCTACCAATCTTAATCACTTTAAAACTAAACTGAAACAATTTATCTAACTAAGTTGAACTTTTTTCCAACTGTGAAGTGTAATTATATATAATCCATTTGTAAATATTTTATAGTTTTTAAATAAGGATAGTATATAGTTTACCATGTCCATGTGTATATGTACTATTTAAAGCACGCGTAGGAGTGTTTTATCAGATATAAAACACGAGGCGCAGCCGAGCGTTTTATATCTGATAAAACACGTACGACTACAAGTGCTTTAAATGGCTTAAAATACGACTACAAAAGAATACTAGTTAGGATGAACCATTATATAATCATACTATAAATTAGGATGAACAATTATACAATGCGTCATGCTTTATCAGATATAAAGTCACTCCACGTGACATATTATGGCTGGCATGATTTGCCACAAGGTTTATGAATTATTAATGAGTATTTTAAAGATATATACAGGACCTGACCTCCCTGAATATGTGTAATTGGGGATACGGGCATCACTTAACCCAGGGAACCGATGAAACATGATTGGCCAAGTAGGTGTTGGGGAATTGCAAAATAATGCCTGCATCATACAGGACTGGTCCCATCGGTATTGACAAGTTGAATTAATAATTCTCTTTATTCATTATTAATTTGTATGCGTACATTTTATACACAAAGTCATTATTTTAATTATAATTACAAGGATATTTTAAAATATAGTGGTCTAATTATTATCTTTTTCTGAGTACGTTCAACGTAGGTTATATTGTATACGTCTTAATTTCTAAAAGGACTGGACTAGAATAAACTCAATTATAATCATAAATATCATTAAAATTTTTAATATATCATGAAACTGTTCCAGCAGTCGCGATCCATTTCATTCCGTACTACCTCACAACAGGTAATTGAACTGATTCATAACCGCATCCAGTGTGACATCGGGCGCAGGTAACACACATTGCCATCGTTGCGTAATCTTCGCCTTCGTCGTGACGCGAATACTTCCGATGAGTGACGTCAGAGTCGGGTCGGGCTCACATAGGTTAATTCTCTCGAGTCTCGTACACCCGCTCAACAGCCGCCCGAAAAGTTGGCCGTCGGTATATGGATTCAAAGATAGAAAATTTATAAGCGACAAAGCCTTCAGCTCCGGGCAATGCCGAACTAGATTTGGGAACAAAAAGCTTTCCGAAATTGAAGCTTTACCAAACGCACCAAATTCTAAAATTTCTAGTTTCGGGACGCAGTCCAAAAGTTCTGCCATCGCGCAACAATTGATATGCGAGCTTTGATAGATTCCAAGGCATTTGAGGTTCGGGCAGCTTTTTAGAAATTCTCGCAGAACTTGTGGTGTAATGTTCATACTCCAACGAATGTCCAACATTTCGAGGTTGGCGCTGGAACCGTAGCTTGTCATCGCTATTAAAACGCTGTCCGTAACTGCGCGCCCGATTCCGCAATAAGATAGATTGAGATAGCGAAATGTCTTGATCTGCGTCAGGAGCCGAATCAAACCTGGATTAACGAAATTAAAGATGCATCTTTAACAACTGAATTAATGTTTGTTAGGGAATATTGTTGAGAAAACATTGTTTCCTGGCCAAGTTTCCTGAAAGTGAAAAACTAGGAAGGAGACTTGTCTCCGAAACAAGAATCACACACACAGTGTCACCCCTGATAGCGACGGCCCTGGGCACTCATAACTTGCGTCAACTGCACAAGCTTCATATCTGGAGCGAGAATTTGGGGCCAAAAAGTGAAGCCAAGGATGAAGCTATATTGGACGTCGGTTTCAGTCGCTTTTATTGTTTTTTTTTTCTGCGCGGTCTGCAAGGATCGAAGTGAAAATACGAAAATTGGCCACACTGTCAAGAATACTAATACTATCAATAATGGTTTTATGACCTGATAACTTGATTAGCGATACTACAGTTGTCTGTTGGAAAATGGAATTAGCTGGGGAAAAATGGTATTAAAACTGGTACTGTTTACAACCTTCAGAGGTATTGGACGTCAACGGCCGCTATCTTTTGGCTTCACTTTTTTCATAGGCCGAAGGACTGAAGTTCTTACTCCAGTATATATAGAGCTCACTGGCTGCAATACATTTACCTGTGCGAGTGAGATGTGTACACGCGGAAATATCGATCTCCTCAAGATTGGTCTGCGCCCACAGTCCCGTGTCGAAGCAGTTGTCACGTATGGGCGTGTAGCGTAGCAACAATGTCGTCAGCTTGTTGCATCGTCGCAGTAGTTCCTCGAATGTTGTGCCATAAATATTCTTGCAGCCGTTGAGGCAGAATGATTCCAGTTTCGGACAGCACATAGCAATCGTTTGAACGTGTTCGTCTTTCATAACTTCGCAGTTCGTACAGTCTGAAGTGAAAATTAATAATCCAATTTATACTGACCTGCGCGACAGGCGCAGGCTAATTTAAGAATTTATTGTTTATACTTGTGACAATTTAGATGCATCATACATCAGTCTAACGGATCATACATCTCAGTAGAAATTATCCATACGAACTGGCTAGAATAGTGCGGATTTAAACCCAGGTCAAACCAGAGTGGGAGTTGACTGGCGACCGTTTGCATGAGACTTTCATGTCCTGGTCAAACGAGAACAAAGATGCATGAGAGGAGTTTGAGTTTTGGTCATGTGTCGTGGGTAAACAGCCGTGCGTCGTGCGTAAAAGTCGTGGGTCGAAAAATGCTCTAAATTTCCAGTTTTCGCTCAAACACTGCTTTTTCTAAAGAATTTCTGTTTTAGCAAAACGCGTGTAAGCCATCGGCAATGCCCAACTGAATATTTAACCGAAATTGTTATATTATGCGTTCGAACTAAAGTGAAGAGCGCAGCAGGATACGGCATAGCAGAGCGCAACAGAGATCTAGGCACTTTCAACTTTTCGGAACAGTAGGCAGGATATGGCCAGGCAATGTTATGACGCAACTAAAGGAAACACCTGATTTATTTTGTATTCAATTTTTTATATAACAATCTCTTGTTCACGGTATAATCACATTTAAACACTGCTTTTTCACTGAATTTCACAAGAAAAGAGAACCTTTTATACCATAAAAATGTGAATGCGCAATAGCTTCGTACCTGGTACATATTGGCATAGGTTGTGTTAGCTACTTGCCTGCTCCTCGCCCGTTTTTTCTCGCCCATTTTTTCTAACCCGCTCGTTTTTTCAAAAATCATCAAAACCTCAAAAAATAAGCGATTGCTACGCAGGCTAGGTTAATACAGTGCGTATAGGGAGTACAACCATTGTGATGCGGTACTCCTTAACCCCCTAATTAAGCTGTCGCTGAACCGTGTAAAGATAGTCCTCCTAGTTAGTGTCTTCTTTTTCATACCCATATACCCGCATAATAACTTGTCGCTGTGGTACTGTGCCAGCGACTATAGTAGTATAGGTTTCGGTACGGCATTTTCGTTGTCGTATGCCACAAAATGACAAATTACATATTTTTGTTTCGGCAAAAATTACGTTATTTTTACTAAAGGCCCTAACTAAATATAATTAAATAAACTCAAAATGGCGACCATGGCGCCTACAAACGTTCGCTATTTTCAGCCTTTTGGGCGTCCTTTATACTACACACTAATACTAGTATATCGAAAAAGATTATATATTTTTGTCTTCCTTTCACTATATAGTCGGCATCATGGTTTGCAAATTCGATCACAACTTCAGAAATTTCTTTCTTCTGCCTGTCCACACATTTCCTTACGTATGTCGTCTTTCGTCCTTCTTTCCGTCTTTCCAATTTCTTTCCATTTAAGGACAAAATTCCCGGTTAACTGAGATCACATGTTGCGTATTTGTAAAGTGTCAATGTTGTGGTGCATTGTATCATTTGTATGTTGGTCAAACTCGCCGACACATACACACGCCAATCTCGGAACACATGGGTGTTTCACCTTTCGCTCATATCCATACCACTAAACATCAAATTTCACCCTCTGATCTTAAAATCCTTTCCACTGCTACTTCCGTGAAGCAGATTTACTCATTGATTCTCATTCGCGAAAGCCTTTAAAATGCCAACATTAGGTCAACTCCTCTTGACCTATTCCAATGCTTTGCTATAGGTCTCTAATTACTAACCATTATATCTTTAATTTACTAATACTTTTAATGACAGGTTGCTTTCATCCTTTCCGACCTTTCCTCTTATTCGCTTATTTGAGTATTGTAACCGTTTGAAACTATTTGTATATATATAATACACGCTTGTAAATAAGTTTAATTGCTCTGAAGACGTTGTGAACAATACAACGAAACGTTACTCGTTAGCCAATAAATTTTATATTTGGGCTTTAATTTTCATTTTTAAATTACGTTTTCCACCCGGTATATCAATTGCTACTGAATTTATAACTTGATCAAGTCAGTAGAGCAGAAATCAATTCAAAGCAGCTAAAATTACGGCTTATACGCAAGACATATCGTTTTGGCATACTATTGACGGAAGTATTAAATCAATCGACATTTGAAAGTTTTACATTTTTTATACGTTTCGATGCGGTGCGGTAGGCTTGAAGTGGAAAACGGCCTTATCATATCCATGCAGCTGTTATAGTTAACCAATCAATGACGTACATTTGAAATATGAACATATATACAGGCCTTTTATACGGTAACATGGAAAAGACGGAGTCGGAGTTCCGTAGTCCCGGAGTCATGAACAAAATACGGGGTGAACAAAATCCGCATTAAAATCACTTTAGATACGCTTGAATAAGTCAAAGGACAGGAGAAACGATGTCATCCGCTTGATTTTATTTAATATGAATCGATATTTTCGCGGCATTTTAGAGAAATAACCAGAAAATTCGTTCGCTTTGTTTATATCATGGATAATAAAATAAATGGATAGGAAACTAGCTGACGAGACCTAATGTTTTCAATGGGCTGATGGCGTGATTGGATGTTGAAACCTAGTTGTAAACCAAATTCTCAAAAACGGCATGTTTAGCAATAATACAGCTAAACATTTTAGTCAACGAGCAAATAAATATAACTACGCCATTCTACGATGAAATCTCTAAGTATTCCCAGTCAATTTTAGCAAATATTTCAAGCACTAAACAGTGAAAAAGGCATCCCATATTTCGTTAAACAATTTCGTAGCTACAAATGTAAAAAAATACAAAACAAAGACGAAAAACATTTACCTTGAATACTTTGTCGTGGCTTAGGCATGTTTTTAAAACAATTAGACCGGTTTATGCTTCAATATTGCTCTTTTAAGGCGGAAAATATAGCGAAACAACAAAAATGCAGAGAACTTTGCAATACGCGTGACGTCACAGATTGCAACTAGGTTGTTTTTGCTTACGTCAGCGAGAGTCCTATCCATTTATTTTATTATCCATGGTTTATATTTAGGTAAATTATATTTTATTTAATTACTGTTTTCCATATTTCACGTTGACAATACGTCGGACTCCGTGTTTTCCATATTTTACGACGGACTCCGTGTTTTCCATATTTTTCTCTGACGTCAGACTCCGTGCTTTCCATATGACTCCGTGTTTTCCGCATTTTAAGACTCCGGCTCCGGAACTCATGCATTCTTTGCTGCTCGAGAACAGCTATAAGGAGTTGCTTTTAAAGTTAGCGTTTTAAAACTTTCATTGCAAGGTAAGTTTATGTGACGTTATATAATAATGTAACCAGACACACTAAAATGCGGTGCCCTACAAATAAAACTTCCAGCGTTTCCGCCTACAACTATCTAAAGTTTTATTTAGTGCGCTACATACATACATTCTCGTGTCAGCCGGCAGTTGGTTCGTATGCTAGGATTAAAACTCCGCTTTAATTCTTTAAAATCTTGAAAATAAATTTTTTGGACTCAAAATACTATCAAACTGAAGAGAAAAGTGAGACAAATCCACTGGTATACAAAAACAGAAAACCCGGCAACGATACCAAAATTATCAAGGATCAAACGTACTACTGCAGTTTAAGATTAGTTTGATAATTTTGAGCGATCTGTCAACAACAGTCGATACAATTTCGCTTGACTTTCAAAGGCCATAAATCGCTAGAATACTGTTGTGTGCTAATACATTTGACATCCGTAAGTACAATTTCTTGCGCTGAATTGAACGGTGGTATTTTTGTCCTTAATGGGCGCATAAAACCACAGATAACGCGCAGCAAAAAGTCCGTCCTGAGAATCTGGAAAGGAGATTTTCTTGGAAAAACGTGAAAGGAGCGGCCAGTCACAACAATTCTTGGGTTTCAGGCTAAGGCCATTATGCAGTGAATCTGACGGGGGGTTAACCTCAAATGTATTGATGTTGATGCTGTATTGGAGTGAGAAAATGATATGAAATTCCATGTATTTGCCACCAAACACAAGGCTAATACATAAAACGAACAATCGACTCACTCTGATAACTGTGTTTTGTCTGTGAGAGTGACCCCCCATCACTTCTGTGACGTCATATGAAACCCAAGAATAGAATTTCGCCATAAATCGCTAGAATACTACTGCTGTTTAGAAATCAGTCGTTAAATACAACCTTTTACGCTGATTCGAACGGGATATTTTTTCCTTGTTGGGTGCATAAAACCAGAGATAAAGCGCAGCAAACAGTCGGTCCTGACAGTCCAAGATTAATTAATTTTCCCGCAAAAGAGGAAATTCTGACCACGTATTGAACTTGGCAAGGGCACCGCAATTTGTTACAAAAATATTATTGCCCTATAATCGTTACATATATAATAGCTTTTAGTATGTACGCAGTGTGCATAATATATTCAAGAAAACTAAGCTTCTTAAACAAACTTACGCCCTCGTTTACTGACATGTGTACATACATATATACAAACATAGCCTACATACATCGCCTTTATTTAAAACACGGGGAACCTTCAGTAATATTACATAATAGATAAAGCCTACATGTAAATTATTCTAAACTTAAAGATATATGGATACATGCATTATATATTATATATAAATATAACAAAGATGAAACTACTGTTCTACCAGGTTGCCGTGTGGGAGTCGTCGGACAAAAGTTAAGTAACATTAGTTTTTAAAGATCTTTTAAAAGATGAAACGGTGATGAAAATGATCTCAGAGATTCATTACAAGCTATTCCATAATGAAGCCCCACTATAACTGAAGGAGCGCTTAAAATAATCCGTTCTAGGTTTAGGGAGAAATAGCTTGTCTCCAGAATCTCTGAGTCTATATAGTGACTAACTCTAGTTACAAACAAATCCTGTAGATACATAGGTGTTAAATTGTTCGTGACTTTATACCGATGAGAATTGCTTTTTGCATTTACGGTTAGTATATAAATTATTCCATCCAAGTTCATAAGTGCAGAGCTAGATGAAGCATCATGGAAAGAGCAAGGAAGAGCGTGTCATAACACGTGCAGCTCTATTTTGGAGTTTTTGCAATTTATCACTCAATTTACTACCAAGTACCAATGCCATCCCAAACAGGAGCGCAGCAGTATAGCTTCTTATTCGCTAAAGAGCGCTAATTGGGGCTGAGACGTTTTTGCAAATTTCATCAATATGCCTTTTCCAGGTCAAGTTTTCATCAATTTTAAGTCCTAAAGATTTAGAGCTATTGACTCTTTCAATTTGATCATTGCCTACATTAATTTCATGGTTATCAAATGTTGCAAGTCTTTGACGAGAACCAATAACCATGAACTCAGTTTTAGCAACATTTAAACTTAACTTGTTAACATTAAGCCATTCTTTAAGTTTTCCTAGTTCGATATTCATAAGATTTTCAAGCTCATTAAATTTATTACTTTGAAAACTTATGTTAGTGTCATCAGCATACATTCTATAGGTAACCCCTCATTCAGGCATTCGGGCAGGTCATTGATAGACTAAAAACAAAAGTGGACCTATAATAGAGCCCTGAGGAATCCCGTAAGTTACCAACAACTGTCGGAAAAGTTTCCATTGACAAAACACTTTTGTTTCCGATTTGTTAAATATGAGTGAAACCATGGTCAAAGCATTATCATCTACTCCATAATGTTTTAATTTAAGAAGAAGTATGTTGTGATCAATAGTATCAAACACTTTCTTTAGATCAATGAAACTGAACAACTCCATTAAGGAGGACGTTATCAACATTAACACACCAACTATTTGTAGTTTCCAACAAAGCTATAAGAGTGCTGTGATTTGGTAGAAATTAGGATTTATATTTCGACAATAAACCGTTGCTTGTTAAGTAGCAATAAAATTGATCATGCACTAATTGAAACTAATTTTCCGAATATTTTAGCAACAGCCGAAATTATTGATATTGGACGGTACTTTTACTATTACTCCGTTTTTAAAAACAGGGACCACCTTAGCAATTTTCCAATCATCTGGATAAATTCCCTGAATAAGAGATTGGTTGAATATTTTAGTCAACGAAGGAAACACAACATCGGCTGATAACATCAAAATTCTTCCTGGAATACCATCAAGACCAGTGGCCTTATTGGAGTTAATAGTCTCAAGCAAACGAGTTACATTTAATGTGTTTCTATTTCATTAAAGGAAAATACTGTGTTTGTAGGTTTGATATAAAAGGTGGGATCGGTGTTTCAGTGAACTATCTATATTATTAGCAAGGCTTTCACCTTGAAGTAAAGTGTGAATTAAAGGCATCTGCAATAGCGGATGCATTTGTTACTTTGTCAGGAAATTTAATTTCTTTGACAGTGGCTGTATTACTAGTTTTACGAGAATTTAACTCATTTACAAGCTTTCAAGTTTCAGCTTTGGGTCTTTCTTGGCCACATCAATTCTGTTTTTAATTAATGTAGTCACATTTAGCCAGTTTAATAAGTACTATTTATATTGTAATAATTTATTTCTTAAGATATATTAATATTAACAGTCTTACAACTTTCCTGTAGTGTCCGGATTTAAAACTATCGATCAACGCTCGTCCACGCCACCTATATTTGCTAACGTCAGTCTCTATAACGTCGGTCTCTATATTCTCTACACTATTCCCCTCTAAATTTAATAGATAACAAAGCTGCAAAAATGCAGTACAATTTAATAGATAACTAAGCTGCAAAAATGCAGTACAGTCCGACATATATGTATAGCTAAAGCTATTCATAGTCCCGTAACCACGCTGGTTTTTTTCTCGTTCGCGCTGGTCTTTCCGGTGGGGATTGTGACTGTCCCTCGTTTCCTTCTACTGGTTCTCGCAATGTCTCGTCGCTACCGTCTCTCTGATTATCCTGTTCCATTGAACTCAATGGCCCATCCTGTTGTAATTCGTCAGGTAAATGTTGTACGTCTTCTTGGACCTCATCAGGTAAATTTTGTTCGTGTTCCTCCCCGTTAATTGCCCGACTTGGTTTACTTTGTCTCAAATTTCTTCTAAAATACCTCACTGTCCACTCATCCTCATCATTTCCTCCGTTGGTTGGGGGTTCCGTTTGCGGGGTTTGACCACTACAATTCTCCACGTTTTCTTTTCTCGTTTCGGTGGTTTCTTTCGATTGCAGTTTCGTCTCGTTTGGTGGTCGATTAGGTAGACTTTTCAACGGTCGTTCAAAACACGGTTTAAGACGATTGTAATGGACTACTAACCTATTCCTTTTGTTGGCATTTTTCTCGATTCGATACACCACATCTGAAATTTTCTTCACAATCGTATATGGTCCCCGCCACGGCCGTGATAGCTTCAAATTCTTTCCCTTTTTGACAAATGGTACATACAACCATACTTTTCCCCGACGTTGTACGTCGTATCTTTCGCCTTCGCGTCATAGTAGTCTTTATATCGCTCGCTAGATTTCTTTGTATTTACTCTGGTCAACTCGTATGTTCTTTCAAAACGTTTCCTCAATTTTTCCGCATACTCTGATGTAGTCGGTGGTACTTCTGCTTGAGGGGGCTCAGGTGTCATTAGGTCAACTGGGATTCTTGTTTCTCTTCCAAACATCAAGAAATGTGGAGAGAACCCTGTTGAGGTTTGCACGGTGGACCGGTACGCCAACAATGCTTGAGGTAAACATCTGTCCCAATCATCTTGACGTTCATTGACCAACTTTGAAAGAATATCTTTCAAAGTCCGGTTCATTCGTTCAACAAGGCCATCACTTTGAGGGTGGTATGGTGTTGTTCGGGTTTTCTTTATCCCAAGAATATCGATTATCTCTTTGAAGACCGCGCTTTCGAAATTTCTCCCCTGGTCCGTATGCAGTCGCTGCATGACTCCATATCTACAAATCCACTCATCCACCAATTTTTGTGCAATGATACGTGCTTCTTGATTTGGAATCGCGTACGCCTCCGGCCATTTCGTGAAATAGTCCACGACCACCAATATATATCGATTACCATCAGGGGTTTTAGGTAGTGGTCCAATGATGTCCATAGCAACACGTTCCATTGGGTATCCCGGTTGATCCAATACCATCATTCCGCGTCGTTTTCTCGACGGTCCATTTCGTTCTGCGCATATCTGACAATTCTTGCAATGCATCTCGACATCTGACTGCCAGTCGCTCCAATAAAATCTTCTCTTTATCACTTCTTTTAACCTCTGAACGTGCTCTGAATGGTTTTCCTATTAGATAGGATGCGAAATGTTCCATCGACCATACAAGGGCCAATAGTTCTTTCCTAGTAGTACTATAGTTCCTTTCCGCTTTTGATAAGGACCTGGCGGCATAGGCAATAACCTTTTCGTCTTCTCCATGGCGTTGTGACAACACAGCTCCAATCCCCGTATCACAGGCATCAGTATCAAGAATAAAAGGAATGTCGAGTCTCGGGTAGGTCAGTATTGGGGCCGTTATCAATTTTGTCTTTAGAATGTTGAATGCTTTCTGACAATCGTCGTTCCACTTGAAAACCGTTCCCTTTCGTTCAAGTCTATAAAGTGGTTCGGCAATTCTTGCGTAATCCCGGATGTATTGCCTGTAGTAACCCGTGCAGCCAAGGAACGAACGCAAGTCCGATAGGTTGTTTGGAGTAGGCCATTTCTCCAGGACTTTCACCTTATCGGGATCAGTCGAGATCCCTTCCTTACTAACGACATGTCCTAAAATAACACTCCGCTGTTGGACAAACTCACATTTTCTTGCGTTCAATTTCAACCCTGCAGTTTCTAATCTTGCTAATACGTTCTCAAGACGCTGATTGTGCTCTTCTAGTGTCCTCCCACTCACAATAATGTCATCCAAATATACAACACAGTCAGTCCAGCACAGTCCCGCCAAAATCGTATTCATAGCTCGTTGAAATGTTGCCGGTGCATTAGTCAACCCAAAAGGCATTCTTTTAAACTGAAAATGTCCGTCTGGTGTGGAGAAAGCTGTTTTCTCGCGATCTTGCTCCGCGACTTTGATTTGCCAATAACCTCGCACTAGATCCAGATGAATGAAGTAGGCTGCCCCCGAAAGCGATTCTAATATTTCGTCGCATCTCGGTAGAGGGAAAACATCCTTCTTCGTAATCGCATTCAGTTTACGGTAGTCGATACAGAAACGCTCGCTCCCGTCTTTTCACCAGCACCACCGGAGCCGACCAAGGGGATGTGGAAGGTTCAATCACGTCGCTTGCACGCATCGATTCCACTTCTTCTCGTACAACCTCACGCTTATGAAACGGAAATCTACGCGGTGTAGCTTTAACTGGGATATGTTGACCAGTGTTAATAAAGTGTTGGACATCTCTCGCCTCTCCCAAGCCCGTGTTTTCGTTTCCTCGCATTGAAGGTCAGCTTGTGGATTTTCCTTTGTTGGTCTGGCTGAATTCTAGACTGTAATGCGTTCACTAGGTCGTCAAAACACGTCTTCTCGTTATCTTGAAGCGTCAAGTAGATTCGCTGAGCTCTACCGCGAAGAGAAACAGCTAGCTGTTGGCAACACTGTGTGTCGTCCCAGTTGTTTATCTGAGCACACAGCTTGAAGTGACTAATCCCCTCGTTCCACGGGCCGTCCGAGTAGTTATCTGGCTTTGCTTTCTGATTATTTACTTGAACCACGGGCAGGTTTAAACTCGACGATGGCGTCGCATCGTTTTCTGTCTTCTCCAGTTCCTCAACACGCTTGGTAAGTCTCTCAATTTCTTGAAGTAATTCAGCGCTAGACATTCTTTATATTTTGTTTGCCGCTGCCACCAATGTAATAATTTATTTCTTAAGATATATTAATATTAACAGTCTTACAACTTTCCTGTAGTGTCCGGATTTAAAACTATCGATCAACGCTCGTCCACGCCACCTATATTTGCTAACGTCAGTCTCTATAACGTCGGTCTCTATATTCTCTACAATATCATTACGTGCATTATATTTTTGTACTGTTTTCTATATTCATATTATGTTCACTATATTATGTTGTACGAAAACTGAAATAATTTTAGATTTTGCATGATTAGCTTAGATTTTTATCGTATGCATGTTAATTAGTTTGAACACGGCCCGTGATAAATATGTTTAAGTACTACTGCTACTGTATTAGATAAAACATGACCAGCCGATCTTTATCTGATAATAATAATAATATATGCAGTATCAATAATTAATAATAATATAGTATCAACTGAAGTGGTCCATTTTAAAACGAGCAACAGCGTGTGTGCCTGGCGGAAGGCGTTGTAATTTGTGTATAGACTGAGATCAATTAAAAATAATGAAGTCATGAGATAAATGAACCAATCTGTTGAACCATAGGCAGCCCAAAAGCTAGGGGTATTAGAGCGATTAATGCTATGGGTTAGCCTGCAAATCAACCAAGCACGCAAGCACCGTCTCGTGTTCTCAAAGTCTCAATATTTATTTATTTGTTCACTTATTTAACTTTTCCTAAAACACTTAATAAGAACAACAAATAGACATCTAGACAATAAACATGGGCAAGAATGGCAGGGACACCACAGCAGTGTAAACCAATTACTGTGGGCCCTTATACAAAAACACGCACAATACGTTATGATTATTTCTAAGGTTGGCAAGTAAATCAACATTTACATCGCTAGCTATACCTTGAAACTATCGAAAAATACTCAACATATGTTAAAATCTACGCTAATATAATAGCAAAACTTGAATCTACGATAGTTTTACTACATTCTTCATACTACTTTCTTTTGAGAAAAATTCGGAATTTCAGTCCTAAAACGACTGAAAACATTTTCCAGCAATTTGTTCAATGTTTTGACTGGCACTATGCTGAATGCCCGAAAAGCGGGACAAACAGCATTTTCATATGGCGCCAATACAAAATCTCATTGGTTCGGTTTTTCGGCAGCTTGGGGAAGACCCAGAGGGGAGGACCATTAGGACGCGGTCACGGTTCAGCTTAACCACTGAACTATATATAACACTGAAGTGCGTGCTTAGCGCGACTTTCCTTATAAGCGCTTGTTCAAAAATATATTGCGTTCTAACGTGTGCTTTTCCATATTAGAATTTTTTTTTCATTTAGTTTCGAGGAGCTGTTGTAGTAGAATGTTGACTGACAAAATTTTACTCACTTTGGGAGTTGTGGTCACTATCTCAGCCTTGGGTAGGAAAATTGTCAAATTTTTACTCGAATAATCAATTTTCACTGATGAATAATCAGACGACAAACTATCATTAACTATGTTTTCTTCGAAAGGGATAGCTTGAGAATCGTGCTTGCTTTGATATCTGTGCAATATGAGCTCCACCTTTGAATTTACCGTATATGAGTAAATTGTTAAATTAAACACGTCCGAATTTATCAATATGATAAATTCGCGGCACCTAACCCTTAACACTAACCCCAATCCTAACCCCTAATCTAACTTTTTTTTACTTTCGTTAACTTTTTTTTTACTTTTTTAAACTTTTTTTGAAGATCGATCTTTAAATATTTTATTTGTTTCAAAATTGTTATACGTGTAGAAAGCTAAAAGAAGTTTTCGAGAATTTAAATAAATATTTCAATGAAAGTTGAGTAAAGCTAATTCTTGGCTACGACAAAGAATATTTCAAGAGGTCATAAATGCATTGCATCTTGTTGTTTTAGGGAGTGCTCTGACATGCAATGTCTGTTCTTACACATCAAAACAACCAAAAGCACAGCAAATGTGCGGAAATTCAACAGTAAACTGTACCACGGGATACTGTTACACAACGAAGTATACTACGGCTGACGGCACAGTAAATATTGCTAGAGACTGTGCCAACAACAATCCTAGCGATAAGGATTGTCCCGATGGTAAAGAAACATGTGAACGCAGAACCAAAGCACATGCTTTGAAATATTGTGTTGCTTCGTGCTGTCAGACTAATAATTGCAACAATGATTATATCCCCGCCAGCAGTACACCAACCAAGAGTGCACCAACCAGCCGTACACCCACCAGCAGTGCAAGTGGTATCATGGCGACCAAATTCATTCTGTGTTTGATGGTGCTTCCTGCTATTCTTTTCGCTTGATGTTCTTTGGGTTTTGTACGACTGCTAGTGTGGACAAGTTTTATCTTAACTCAATTGTTGTAATTCAATTTAGATCGAAATAACTGATTGTTTAGTTTACTGCTTGATGATATAATAAAGTGATTGATTTGTTTTTGCCTTACGTGCATTGAGTAATTATTAAGAAATTATTAAGTGAGTTGGTCGAAGAGGCCTATTGTCTGTATCAATTGTGTATGGCGAGGGAGTCTATCCCTTCTTTGCTTAGGCTATTGCATTTTTTGGCAATGGAGGGACCCTAGATAGAATATAAAATACTCATGATACAGCTAATATTATGTACTCTGAATTAAGGCATGCGTTCCAATGGCAATGCCTGTAACAAATTAAAGGTATTGAAATCTGGGAAAATGTATTCTATATGATATGTAATCTAATGCTACATATATGTTAAAAGGGCCCACAAATCAATCAAATTGCTATAATCTGCATAATACATACGCTCTCGACTAAACGATTTTAGTCGCTAGATTTGTATATGTTATATGCATATGTGGCAGGGCCTTTTTTAAGGATTTTCCCGTGGGGGGAGGGGGACTGTTTTTGAAAAGGGACCTTTCTGTGAGATAATATATTAGAGGGGGATAGCAATGGTCGAAGGCCACGTGTGTGGCCGACATACCACGCATGAATGGGGGTGGGGGGGGGGGTGGGGGGGTTATAACTCCCCCAGAAAAATTTTGAAATTTGAAGCCCGGAAATGCCATTTCCTGCAATCTGAGCATCCAAATTTGCATTTGAAATAAAGGAAGGAAAAAACGCACAAAAGGTTAAAATAATTTATCATTACTTAGCATTAGTAAAATTTACCTTTAAATCGATTTTGTTAAACAAGGACAAAGGATAAAGCCTAAGCTTACTTTCCGTAGACCATATAATATACTACTTTCCTGCATGAGTGTTTATAGACACATCATCTGTCAAGACGAACTAGGAAACATTTTTCTCAGTACGATGAACGAACCGGTATATAGTTCTTATTTACGAAAAACCGGTCTGTTTGCCGCATTTAAACACAGTAACTAGCCAACTAAAACCCATTTTCCACTACTGCGAATTTATTCGCGCGAAGCAAAAAACAAATCTTGGCAATATGATTGGTCAGCGAAAGTATTCGCCGCGAAAAAGTTGGATCAGTTCCTCATTCACCTGGTGGAAAATGGGAAGTTAAAAGCCAACTAACTTACTATAACTACTGGCCGTACCTACCTAATATAGTCAAGTTCTGCATTTTGACAAACATCCGTGGCAAAGGGCCTTTCGAAGAGTGACTACCAATTCCCAAATACTTGAGCTTCGTAAAATGTCGCGGAATTCGTTTCAGAAATGCAAAATCTCCCCGTGCTGGCCGTAACTCTAACAGCTCTAAATTTGGCGGGAAGTTCACCTCGTCGTTACTGGAGTTGACAAGTTTCGAGCCCTTACCAAAAATAACACTGTGCAAGCTCTTGCAGCTTTTTGCCAACTGCCGAAGCATTTTGCTCGTCACCACACAGTTCGATAAATTCAAATGCCTCAGAGAGGTGCACAGCCGTGATTTTACCATCAATTGAAAAGATTTTTCGTCCAAAGTACGCGCATGTCTTTCCAAATTCACGGAACGCCATATACTCGGGTCATACGTGATTCGTTTCCACTTGCGGCAAACTCTAGATGCCCTTCCCAACTCTGCCATGTTCAAATGCGTGAAAATCCGAAGCATAAGACTATCCGGCAGTTCGTTCATCGGAAAAAATGCACTTTTCGTTGGTCGCATGAAATATCTTTCCTTAATACCGAACATAAACCTTTCCTTTTGCTTGCAAAAAGAATTTAGCACAAACGGCAATTATGACGCGAACTGCTTTGTTGCGTCAGCGAGCACGTGATGGCATTTTAAAAACGTGCGCCTGCATACGATTTGGTGTCGCTTTGGAATAAAAATGCATGGCTATTTTATTGAAAACAATGTGAATTTTTATTTTTCCAATAAAATGTTTATTTTTTAATAAAGTTTAACTAAATTTTACAAAGCAAAAAGGTTCAAAACGTCTGTAACGGTTTTAAAATAAATAGCGCCATTCACCCGGGTTTTCGGACCTAGGGCCACAAAACCCGGTATACATGTGACAATACGGCGGGGAAGATGAAAAAATGGCGGCTTCAAAGAGTAAAACGCGACGATCTGAAAAAGATGCTTGGGAATGGATCGATAGCGTCGATTGCACCGCGATCACACGGGAACACTTAGAGAAGGCCTACAGGATTAATACCACTTGCGGTGAAAAAGGAAATCATAGGTTAGTACGAGTATTTTACGGATTTAAATTCCCTGTCATGCGACATATATAGCAAACATGTATACTTCAACATGCTTTTTGCAGCGTTTGATGCTGTATATTGCAGACAGTAGCTTAAACGGTAACCTTTCAAGCACAGATCGTTCATCCCTGAACTTTATATTACACAAAAATTGTCCATTAACTAGCCGATGAAAGGTCTTTGCTAAATCAAAACTGTTCAAACATGAATTAAATGTTTACTATTTGAAGTGCTACTTATTACTACTTTTACCCTTTGAGAAAAGGAATCACCAAATCAGGGCCAGCTAACTATTTTTAATGAATATTTTACAGTAAGGCGAGTGAAATGTGGCTTGTTTTTGTTTTATATGAACACGAACATTGCAAATATCATGTTATATTTTGTAATTTTGATCTGTGGACGACTGTGGTACTTTTATATTTGTCATTACATTAATTTTGATCATTGATCTGTAGTACTTTTATATTTGTACAGAACTGTACTTTGTACCTCATTCATCTGATCAGGTCTTGGAGCCAACTTTTATGGTTTGCCCATGAGACTCACAGGTTTAATATTTTGGGCTATCTCAGTCCATAGTTAATATGCTCAGTCTCATAGTTCAACCTTGAAATCTCATGGTTTTCTACAAATTATGAATGACAATGGCCTTTTTTATACTAGAGATGCATTATGCATCTGGACGAACTTGGGCAAGCATTTTTTGTTCGTCTGGTTATGCGTCCTCAGTATAAAGACGGGCACAAGACACATTATGCGTCTAGACGAACTATGTTCGATTCTTAGTCTTAAGAGACGCACAACCGATGATAGTTCGTCTAGACGCCTAATGTGTCTTGTGCCCGTCTTTAGACAGATTTAGATTGAGGACGCAAACGTCAAAGATGAGGTGAAAATGGTGTGTTGTGCCCATGTATGGATACGCCACGCCATTTTGACGCACAACGTCTTTGACATCCGCGTCCTCGATCTAAATCTGTCTTTTATACTGAGGACACATAACCACACGAACAATAAATGCTTATAGTTCATCTGATTATTCATCCCGTCTTTATACTAAACGAATAATGTAGAAGACAGATTATGCGTCCAGACGCATAATTCATCTCTATAGTATAAAAACGGTCATTCTTAATAAAATACAGGCCAAATCAAACTTGACATCTTAGTATAATCAACTTGATTTATAGTATCAAATAATAGTCAAATTAAATGTTAGTCAAAGCATGGATGATACAAAGACTACGGACTATCCAAATTGTTGTGTATTTAATAGAGTCCAAATTTAAAGCCTAACTTAGGCGGCACATTTTAATATAAAAACTATAAAAATATAAAAAATATAAACTATCCAAATTTTTAAAATTATCTATTAGAGGTGTGCAAATCCAATTGGATTCGTTCGGATTTCGGAACCAAAATATTCATTTCGGATCGGAATGATAAAGTTGTTGAATTCGTAGTCGGATCGGATTGGACTTTGATATCCGAAATAAAATGAATTAATTATCCACACATTATCGCAAGAATTAATTATCCATGCATTTATCAAAGCATTATCACAGTTGTCGCTGCATTATTCGTTTTGGACGTCACTTTGTCAGCTTCTTGACATGTATTTCTTACTTTTATATTATTTATTTTGTTAAATATTTCAACTTGAATGAGAAATTTATTTTGTTAAAGAATTCTTCGGATCGGATTGGAATTCTTTATCAAAACTCTGATTGGATTGGATTCAGATGAAACAATTTCGGATCGGATTGGATTTTAAACATTAGGCAATTGTCGGATTATAAACGTCCGATCCGATGCACACCACTATTATCTATGGTTGAAGAAAAAATTGATGGAGATCTTGTACTTTCTTTCGCAAGTTTAATGACGTTAAATAACAAAATCTGATACATAGCCAGTAGGAAAAAAATCCGATTTGATCCGACGGAAAAACTACCAAAATCCATGCTGGTCATGTTCAGCAAATTTTCTCCCAGTGCCGCAGGCTCGCATTTTACAGCAGACTTGCGGTTTTGCATTTTGCACAAAACTGGCCATTTTGTGTACGATGTCCACTGACAATACAAGCCCGCATGAGTGGGAGAAATTTCACTAAATTTGACCAATGTGATCTGATGTGATCTGATCCGATCTGACAGAAAAAACCTCCGATCCTAACACGTAAAATTTGGTCCGAATCAGTTCGGATTAGCACACCTCTAGTAGGAATGTAGTCGGATTCCTGAACGTTTTGACACGAAGACATGACACCCCGCCAGTCAGGCTCAGATGGATCATAGCTGATAAAATACGCTGTTTCTTCTAAATATAGAAAGAATTGCAAGTTTAACCCAAATTGTCTGGCTGTCCTTGGAGAAAAATTCTGGATGAAAGAACTGAAAGGTATTTCTCATGATTTCCAATCAAAATGTTATTATAATAAGCACCATAGACCAATAATTAATAGACTAAATTTTGATCAAGGCAAGAAGAACGAAATCCAACACCACAGCTCGAAAGAGCGTCTTAGAATGAGTAAAATTGCAAAGATTGGTTGCTAAATGTTGTAAAATGAAGAAATGTATAGCCCTGTGTAATTCGCAAATTTTGTATATATTCGTATTACGCGCGGTAAAAATAACCACTTTCGGCTCAAAAATGGTTATTTTTCACACACGTAATGCAAGGCGTAAAAAAATACCGGTTCCGGTTCCCGACCCTATTTTTTTCTGCCGACCCTATTATTTTTTCAACATGATTGACCGTGCGACCCTATTTTCTCCTGGTGATTGCAGGCTACTGCCAAAATGGCGTCTGTTGTCCCACTAATTATTGAAAAAAAACATGAAAAAAATATTCAAAAAAAAAAATTTATTTCCGACCTACCGACCCTAATTTTTTCGCAATATGAAACCGGAACCACAGGTATATTTTTTTACGCCCAAATATATACAAAATTTGTGAACTTCACAGGGCTATATTTTCCTCATTTTACAACAATTTGCAACCAAACTTTGCCAATTCACTCATTTTAAGATGCTCTTTCCAGCTATGGCAATGGATTTCGTTCTCCTTGTCTAGATCAAAATTTCGTCTATACAGGTAGCTGGAGTCATCCACTTCTGATACATGAGCACAAGAGAAGATTTTGTGGACTTCTTCAAAATACAGAGTGCCTGATTGTCTTAATGTCAACCAGTGGAAATCTGCCAGCTAGCTGCAACAAGCAGTACAATTATTAAATTTCTTACTTATTCTTAGATGATATCTGGTGTGATAACGTTGAAGATCCTGACGAACAGAAACGAGAAGAGGTAAATGCGTTATACTTATTGCTAACTGTAGTTATCCCATCAAGTTGCAATGCACCCTACTTTGTTATTATGCTCTTTCTAACACCAAATGATTTGGTGCTCAATGGGTTAAAGCGTTAATGCGGAATGCAATACAAAAGTATACAAAATTTGCAAACTTTGCAAGGCTATATTTTCCGCATTTTAAAACATTGCGCAACCAAACTTTGCAATATTACTCATTTTAGTAACATGCTCTTTCTAGCTGTCGTGATGTATTTGCATCTCCCAACCTCGTTCCCAGGCTCTTTCCTCTTGTGAAGGAAAGAGCCTGGGAACGAGGTTGTGCATCTCCTTGCTAGTTTTAAAATTAGTCTATAATGGGGAATTGTCTATTGAAAAAACTAACTAGAAAAATCAATTATGCATAATTCAAGATCAATAAACTCAATGTTTTTAACAAGAAAAATGTTTTAAATTTTCTGATCTTGAATTATACTTAATTCATTTTCTTACATAGTTAGTTTTTTCAAATAAAAGGGCTGAAATGCGCCTTAAAATCCATCATTCAAAAGGCTGAACTGTGCATTTAATACTGGATAGCTCTATCAGTTTTAAACAGTTGACCAAATTGTCAAGTAAAAAAGATTTTGAAAAATATTTTCCAACCTTTCCAACCTATACCCTGATTTGTTTCAGGATGTGAAGCATATAATTTTTTTGTTAGACGCTATTCCACAAAACCCACCTGTATGGCTAATTTAACAATTGAGCATGTTCATCAAGTTTACACTAATATAATATATTCAGATATTCCACTGGCCAAACAGAATTTTTTTTTTATTGGGTCTTAATTTATTTATGCATGTAGCTACTATTTAAAACACAAGTAGGAGTGTTTTATCAGATATAAAACGCGAGGCGCAGCTGAGCGTTTTATATCTCGTAAAACATGACAATGAGTGTTTTGAATAGCTTAAAATACGACTACAAAAGAATACTAATTAGGATGAACAATTATATAAAGAATACTAATGAAGATGACTTTTATCAGATATAAAGTCACTCCACGTGACATATTATGGCCGACATGATATTTTAATTTTCATATATTACAGGGATCATTTGTTGGTTTAAAGAATTTAGGCGCAACATGTTATGTTAACACGTTAGTGCAGGTATATACTGACCTATACTCTGCTATATTCTTCCTTCATTGAATGCGTCATTAGCGCATTGCGGCATTGTATAATTTATGCATGATACTTAGCGTGACCTCTTGTTTCTTCAATGATAAATTGAAGACAGAGAAAGAATGATTGTGTCATTTTTATAGGTTTGGTTTCATAACGAAGAATTTCGATCAGCTCTTTACTCTTGGGTTCCTTTGGATGGCGAGCCACCGAGTCCAGAAAAAGATCTTCCTCATGAAAACATGGAAATTGAACAGGATCAGTGTCAACTAAGCCACTTGGGTACAGTGGGTGATAATTTCTTTCAAACATTACTCCACATGCACTTCTAACTCTGTGTTTTTCATTACATTTATGATGTTTATTAATTGGCAAGTAAACTAATGTTTATTAATTGGCAAGAAATAGCAAGGCGTAAAAAAAATACTTGTGGTTCCGGTTTCATATCGTGAAAAAATTAGGGTCGGTAGGTCGGAAATATATATATTTTTTTAATATTTTTTTCATGGTTTTGGCGTTTTTTTGCTGGGCGATTTGCAGTAGAGTCCCGGACATCAATATTAGGGAGTTTACGATCTACGACGCGGCCGGGTCGACGACGCGCTTTCAAAACAAAGAAATTTGCTGTTTTCACAAACAATAGTATTATGTGTTTTATCGCCATGCAAACCTACAAAGAACTTACAAAGAAATTTGTCATGCAAGACAAAAACTGTCAATAATTTGTGGTCCCATGAGTATTGTCAACCGCGTTGTCATTTTCAACACAACGTTAAAAAAGCATTATTACGTCTTTCAGGCAACGCAAAAGCTTAATGCGACACAAGAGGTGTTACTAAAAATCGAAATTACAGCAAACATTGCATCGCCGTAGCCGAACATAGCATTTTGTAAGGTTATTTGAAAGAGTCAAATATTTATTACAGTAATCGAATTGCTTAGCGCTCATTCTTGAGCTAAAATTTAGACCGCGTCGTTGAGCCGACCGCGTCGCAGATCGTAAACTCCCTAATAACTAGAGGTGCGTATTTCCTATGGACGAATTGAGGCAATTTGGTTCAATAATTATTGTGAGAACAGACGCCATTTTGGCACGCCGTATGAGCAGCACGCAACCACCTGGAGAAAATAGGGTCGCACTGTCAATCGCGTTGAAAAAATAATAGGGTCGGCAGAAAAAAATAGGGTCGGTCGGGAACCGGAACCACAGGTTTTGTTTTTTTACGTCCAATGAAAAAAAGATCATTGCATTCAGAAAGGAATAACTTAGATTTTGATACATTATTAACACTTGAATTTACATGCGAGATACAAACAAAATAAAAATATTTATTATTTAACAAGTAGAACTACTAAGTTCTTTGAATGTTTGCATGGCGATAAAATATAATTGTTTTTGTTTGTGGAAACACCACGTAAATTTATATAAATTTACGTGGTGTTTCCACAAACAAAAACAATTAAGTAGAACTACATCGGTAATTATATGAGACTGTTTTATACTAATTTTCAGTATTAATCTAAGTTAGTCCGTTTCTTTTGCTATATATCAAAATCTAAGTTAGTCCTTTCTGAATGCAATGATCTTTATTTCAATGCGATAGCTTTTAAAGCTTTTACGTGACATGAAATGAAACAGTGCCCAGTTTTATTTGACCTTTTAACCGAGCAAAATGAAAACAGCAGCAAATTCATGCTAAAATATTAATCCTTAAATTCTCTTATCATTAATTCAATCGTCAGGCTTGCACAGACCGCAACGTCATTATTTTTGTTTTTCAGGAGTTACAGTGAATGACAAAGACGACTGCACAGAACAGTCAGAAAGCAAAGAAAATAATGAAAAGCAAGAATCAGAACAGTCTGTGTCACAATCATGCGATCAATCTGACCTGGATTCTGAAAAGATCAGTGTCAGCAAACCAGAGAACGAAAAACATGAAAATACCGAATCAAGTAATTGAGCGATTCAATTATTGGTTTTGTTAAGTAGAAGCTGTTGAAATTCAGAATGAATTCCAGAATTGTACACTGTGTTCTAACCTGTAACCTCTACTTGCTCTCCCTAGAAGGCAGATAAAATATCAAATTTTTAATAATTTACCGTTTTAATAGGCGTCTCAACCCTCTTAAGACTGCCTGTGTACAATTTATAACTTATAAAATGGATACAGGGTGATGTCCTAATACATTTAAATACTGTGTAAAGTCACCATTCTTCTTAAAACTTGTCACGAACAAGCTACAGACGAAATTTTGATCTAGACAAGAAAAACGAACTCCATTGCCATAGCTGGAAAGAGCATCTTAAAATTGCAAAGTTTGGTTGCGAATTGTTGTAAAATGAGGAAAATATAGCCCTGTTAAGTTCGCAAATTTTGTATATATTTGCATTACGCACGTGAAAAATAACCATTTTTGAGCCGAAAGTGGATATTTTTACTGCGCGTAATACAAATATATACAAAATTTGCGAACTTCACAGGGCTATATTTTCTTCATTTTACTTTTATATTGCCATTTTCTTTTAATCCTGCTAAGTTTTGAAAACCAGAATTATGAAATGTTTCTTAGACGTTATCCCTTTATCTATTTAATCAGTTATCAATTCTATACCTGTTTTGTTTCAGAAAAATCCTTAATCGTCTGTCCTCCAATTCCTCTATGCAAACCATGGGCAGATAGCAAAGAGCCAAAATCATTTTGTCGTCATTTACAATTACTACTTGCCCAGCTACAGTATACGTCGAGAAGGTATATGTACTATTTAAAACACGAGTAGGAGTGTTTTATCAGATGTAAAATCTGATAAAACACGACAACGAGTGTTTTGAATAGCTTAAAATACGACTACAAAAGAATACTAATTAGGATGAACCATAATATAATCATGCTAATTAATTAAGATGAACAATTATATAATGCCACATGTGTTTTATCATATATATAAAGTCACCCCACGTGACATATTATGGCTGACATGATTTGCCACAAGGCTTATGAATTATTAATGAGTATTTTAAATATATATATCGGTTATCCTTTGATTTTTTCACGCAGTAGTATTTACATGCTATAAATTTAAAAAGATTACAATAGGCGTTTTGCAACAATTGGTCCCGTGACCACATCTATCAAGAAACACCAGGAGAACTGCAAAGTTTCAGCTTATAATATGCAATATGCAAGAAATGGCATTCAGGTTTTGCTCTCCAGAGCATTTTCCCATGAATGCAAATTCTGGGAAGTTTTTCCATTTTAAATTAAATGCCATTTTTTCCATATTGCATATTACAATCTGAAATGTTGCTCTGTTTACTAAATATTGAGATGCTCCTTTCATTTTTGCGGTTACAGCTGCTCGTTTTAAGGGAGATGGGTCCACGTGACCAATTGTTGCAAAATGCCTATTGTATATTACTTTGAAGTTGTACGCACGATATGTATTCATTGAACCAAGTTAAAATCCCATATTATTTGACATGAATACCTAGGTTTGTGGATCCGGCGCCGTTCGTTGGATCTCTAGGACTGGATATAGAACAACAACAGGTGAATTACCACATTATTGAAAACTTTTTAGCACTATTCCAGCATACAATTAGAGTGGTACTGGCCGGGGTATATTCATTTTCAACAGGTTTCATACGGGTCTCCAAATTTGTCTTGTAGGACGCCCAAGAGTTTTCTAAATTATTTATGTCTCTGCTAGAAGATACTCTTTCACAACAAGTAAGTCGTTGTTTGAAAAACAAACTTAAAAGAGCGAGATTGCTACTCGAGGCAACGAATTTTTCGTTGTAATCTGTGGTGTGAGAATAATACGAAACTAGTTTTTCATGTAATATTTCAAGTCCGAATATTAGGACTGGACTAGATTATTTTCAAGTCAACATAATTTTATCAAGTCCGAAGCGATATATTTCTGAATTGTTTGAGTGAATTGCTCTTTATTTTTAAAATATCCAAAATTAAAAAAAAGCCGAACACCATTTTGAAACTGACGTCTTTAGCTATATGTCCTTTGAAAATTTGAGAAAAATTGGTTAAAACCCGCAGGAGCACAACTCGTTTGAAAATCATTAATTACCGTAAACTTTTTCGGGAGAAAATTGAATTTGAATATTACATTTTCAATGTTTTTCTTATTGCAGCGAAATGTATTTTATTAAATAACTCTGCGAGTTTTCAACATTTTTCGTTCAAACTTGGTCAGATAGTAGAACTAGTCTAATGCTTTCATGGAAGCCAATAAAAAATTTTTTAGGCAAAATTAACACTCAAAGGTGTTCTGTAACCTTAAAGTGAGGTGACTTAATTTTGATCCTGTCCAAGGACTGAATTAATTTTGATTCAGTCCTAGGACTGGATCAGTATACTTCACCAGGTGTCCAGTATTATTATGTGAGCAAAATAAAGCAATATGGTTGGCTAATGTACTCATGAATTATTAATGAGTTTGAAACATCTCTCTGAATCCCTAGGCATGCAGATTAGCCATTAATTTACTGACACGGAGCCATTAATTTACTGTTTCCTTTTCATCAGCCTAACCCTGTCATTAAAAACATCGTTCAACAACAATTTGGAGGATCGTACGTTTACATTACAAGGTATGGTCGTTCATCATAAAATCAACGTAATATAAAACTTATTTTGAGGGGTGGACCTACCCTCATCTGCAAGGAGGGGTGCAGGTTTTCCATGGGGTGGTGTATGAGGGAGCCTTACTGCCCACTCTCCTCTGCAGTCTGCAACGCTACTATCCCAACATTGCCGTTATTTGAGATGGCCGAATCTGCATATTCGATGTCCTGTGTTTATAAAGTTTATATCGGCTTTTTATCACGTACGCGTGACGCCGTGACTGTAGCACAGTATAGTAAATTTGCTTGTTAAAGTACAGTATATTTGAAAATATGGCTGTATATTAACAACCTCGACATGTTTACATATTTAACCATTATATTTGAGTATTTTCTCATGAGCTCACAAATCAATTGAATGGTTTCAAGAAATCGGCGCGCGCTAACAGTAGAAGTTCCGCTAATTGCTGTTCGAAAAGCAGAAAGGCCAAGCAGATTTTTTGGGGTGGTGCTGGACTTTTCTGGGGGGGGGGGTTGCTAGACACCGCTAGGTGGGGTGCGCACTGCCTGTACCCCGGTAGACCCGCCCTTGATAAAACTTGTTTAAAACTAAAATATTTATGTCCATTTTTTTTCGATATTATTAGATGCAGTAAGTGCGGAAAGCAATCACAGAGAAGTTCGACATTTTATGAACTTGATTTAAATATTCAGGGAAACACAAATCTATCCCAATGTATCAAAGAATTTCTTAAGGTATTATATTATGGAACATATTGAACTCGTTGCTATTTCTTTTAATCAGACTTGGAAAAACTGTTAAATGTCCCTCGGATCTTGAATTTGTATTTTTCAAATGTTCCTCAAAAGTGTGTAAAAACAACGGAAAATGTGACCGTATATTACGTCATGAATGCAACAACAAACTATACTTGACTGTAGTTATGTTAGATGTCTCAAATGACAGATAAGCAAGTATGATATAGACCAGATAATTGCCAAAAGTAGCCCTATAGAGAAAACAAGCATTTCATTCTACTTTTGCATATAATCTGCTAAATTGAACAACTGGAATTTGTAAGGACGTGTTTGAAAGATCTTCTTGCTTTAGTTTGTGGATATTTTCTGAAATTATTTGACATTCAAAAACGGACATTTTGTTGAATTGATTTTGCATGATCATATCGCACAGTCAAAGCTGTTTGAAATTCACTAATGTTACGTTTTGAACAATTCAACGTGATATTGTACTAATTTCTAACACCTTTTCAGTGTTTAGTTCTTGAATTTGCTGATACATTGTTTTGAATGTCCTTGAAAAGTCCTTGAATTTGACTCTCTCTGATATGTATACGAACCCTTTTGCACATATATCACCACTAGATTTGCTGCACAATACTGACGTACGCGCTCGTTTCTAGGAAGAGGACTTGCATGGGGACAATCAATATCACTGCAGTTTCTGCATGAGTAAACAAGATGCTACGAGATATATTAAACTACAAGAACTACCGCCTGTATTGAATTTACAGCTTTTGAGATTTGTATTCGACAGGTAAGCAAGACTAATGAATATAAGTAAGTAAGTATCATTTACGTAAGAACCTGTTTAGACTAACTTGGAAAATTATATGCGGTGTTTTACTGTAAGTTAGCCCGTTATACTATGGGGCCGGGTACTCGAGTAGCGACTCGCCCTAACTTCTGCATGCATGGTTTGGAACTGACAGAGCTATTGTTTAAATGTATACAAATCCTGTATTACATTCAGAAAAAGTGGTTGTAAGAAGAAATTAAATACCACTATTTGGTTTCCTGAGGTTCTGAATATGAAAGAATATGTGGATGCGAATATGGAAGGCAAGTGTAATTTGTACTTGGAAACCATGTTCAAACTGAGATATGTCATATTGAAAGAATTTGTTTTCAATTTTTTAGGCTGTGTGTACGACCTTACCGCTGTGTTGATTCATCGTGGTCTCAGCGCTTATTCTGGTCATTATGTCGCCCATATCAAAGACAAAAAGGTATAAGAAAACTTACGAAGTGGGTCAGGTTATTTTATCTCACTTCCTACCATGTCTGGTTAATGTGGGAAAGTTTCATTGATAGATCATAGATCAAAGTGGAAATTTGACATTTTGGTCAAGAGTATTTTTAGAGTGTGTATAGGTACCGAGAAGTCTTTTGTAGGAGAAAATACAAAAAGAAGGGCCCTTCCTCTACTACTAAGTCTTCGCTGCTAACTTGTTTTCATATCATCTGCTGTTTTTTCAAATTGTCCTACTATCTCGTACGTTTACAGGGCTTTCAAAATAAGCCGGCGGCCGCCGGAGCTCCGGCGGGTGGCACGAGGTTTACCGCCGGTTACTTTGTTTAGTTCTTGAAACATCAATTCTGCTCTCCTTCCTCCACTCTAAGCTTTCAAACAAAGTTATTTTTCCTCAACTTGGTCTACTTTATAGCATGGTTATTTTCGAAAACGACGTACTATTTCGCAAAACTGATTTAGTTATTTGCCATCGTATTCTCGATTTCATGTCACTTTTCAACGCGCGGTTCCCAAGTTCGTTGCAAACTTGCCAATTGACGTTTCCAAGTTCAAAAATTGGGCGTGAAAGATCGCAACAAAGATCGCAAGCATGTTTCAATGTTGGAACTATTGTAAACAAATGTTCGTAGTTCAAGTTGAAATTAACAATTCAATGGAAAGTTCTTGGTCCAGTGGGCTACCAAGAAGGTTTCTATTTCATTGAATTGGTTATTGTTATTGACTATGAACATTTGTTTACAAACGAATTAAGTTCAACCATTGAAATGAAGTTGCGAACTTTGCTGCGAATTTGGCGCCCAATTTCCGAACTTTGTACTAATTGGAACTTGGAACCGCGTGTTCAAAAATGACATGAAATCGACAATAAATCTTCTCGAAGAATGAAAGTAGTGATACATCATAATTTGTGTTGTGTTTCTATGTAATCAATGTACCTAATTAATTTGGATGACTTTAAGACTAACTAGACCGTCCCCTCCCTACAGCCGCCTACTTTATCAAAACAGTCACCTACTCTGAATAATTCTGAAAGCCCTGCGTTTACCACAGATTTTTCTCATCCCATATCCCGCAACTTTATGAAACCCAGAATCACCATTGTTCTTTCATCCGTTGCCAAAATACACCTTATCCTGCATCGCGATAAACTTATTGTGACGCTAATCATCATTCTATTTTGTATTCTTAAATTAAGAGCGGCGTTTGGTATCGTTTCAACGACGAAACGACCGAGAAAATGAAAGGAAAGTCATTGAATTTGGAGTCAGAAGAAGATTTACACGGTGGGTTGTGAAGTTTGAAATCTTTATTACGAGTGACACTATACATATAGCTGGTTTACGCTATCAAAGTTTCTGTGAACACAGTAGGAATTTTGCACAGGTAAATTCTAAGTTTAAAAGGATTTGTAAGAAAGTTTGTAAGATGTTTGAAGAAACTTACTCAGTGTTTAACATTACAATTTACTTATGCAAAATACTACTGTGATAACAGAAAATTTGATAGTGTATAAACCAATCTTAAGTAAGAACAAAGCTTTCAAAACACTCTTCAATGTTGTTCTGTTTCATTTTACACTTGCAGAAGCTGTGAATGGTGGCACGGCAGCCAAACGGCCTAAACTCTCGAAAGGATCCAGTTCAAAAGATGCATATATGCTTGTTTATAGACAGCGTGGCGAAGGTTAGTTCATCTTTCAAATGCTGTGACATTGCCCAGCTCTGTCGTGCTAGCACGCAATGGTTTCACTTTTGCAACCGAATATGATCCCTGTCATATACCGTATATAGTTCTGTTGTTTCTAGTTTGGTAAGAAAATTGAACTTTATGTAACAGATAAAGCATAATGGCCGTGTTGTATCAGATATATACAAACTCGAGCCGAAGGCGAGAGGTGTATGTCTGATACAATACGGACGCGAATGCTTTATATAGCTTGTGAAACATCTCGATGAGATCGTGTTCTTCAACAATTTAATATAAATTAATGATATTTGGTGAGAAAATTAAACTTAAAGTTTATGTAAATCAGTATGATTTCTGTATCGGATATACAAACTCCTTCACGCTCATGATTTCTCTTGTGTTTTCTTGACTTTTGTAAATAAATTTAAATGCTCTGAAGATGTAGTGATGTAAACAACGAAACGTTAGCAAATGTATACTTTATATTTTTTTGTTATTTCTCGTGTAAAAGTCATTTGCTGCATGGGCTCTACTAGCTTTAGTCAAGTTAAGTTATGTGATTGTCTATCATGGTTATATTTTGACTTGTAGTTATTTATCTTTTCAGAGAAACAAGCAGTAGCACAAGAACCTCCACCAACGATTCAGATGTTGGTTGCTGAAGATAACAGCAGGATGGACGAGTGGACAAAAAAAGTTCAACGAATTCGAGTAAGAAATATAAACATGTATTTGCATTAGTTATCATGTACTCACCATTTCAGAATTTTGATTTGCAAAAACAAAACCGAAGAGATGTAATATATACTTAATGTCTGCTCCCGAGGGAAATAGTTAGTTTTGTTTTCCCGAGAATCTCAATGTTTCCCGAGACGAAGTCGAGGGAAACATTAAGATTCGAGTTATCCGAGAATTATAAGTTATCCGAGAATCTCAATGTTTCCCGAGACGAAGTCGAGGGAAACATTAAGATTCGAGGGAAAACAAAACTAACTATTTCCCGAGGGAACAGGCATTAAGTGTTTTGTTATATAGCGATGAACAAAAATCAACTTCAACAACATTCATACAACAATTGTATTTCGTGGCAAAAACTCTATAGTGTAAACGAGTTTAAAATTAAAAGAACCTACTTAAACGGTTTCAGCAGCATATCCTGTTGCCTGTTGTGTATTTTTCTTCTCTTTTATATTCTTTATTTGAACACAAACTTGGAAAATCGTAGTTTCTAATTATCTGAGTTGTGCCTCCATTTTGTTTATTTATGTACGTGGCCGGTCGGGACGGGCAACAATTTTTCACTTGTTGCCCGGCGGGAAACATTGCATTTATCTGAAGTCACGTGACCACAAATCAGCCAATCACGTTTGGTGTTCACGCTAGCTATATAACAAAGAAAGTTATTACTTTTGTGTATTTATGTTTTACAATTTCTGTTTTGCACTACCAGGATAAGATGGCCTCGGTTGGAAGACAAAGACAAACAGAGGTTCAAAAAACTTTAGAAATTCTCCCAGTCGCTGAAGGTAATATAACGTCCGACTCTATGTTATAAGCTGATGTTTATATATTTATAATAATCAGGAGCGCATCTGTAATCCAGTGACAATTTTGTGCTGCAAGCAAGCCATTTCGCCATTTCCCAATCGAGCAGAGGACTGGGCCTAGTCGCTTGTTTGGAGGGACACCATTCTCGTACCCAGAGCCCTTCTTACGCGCGTTCGACCGAGCGCGACGAGGGGCCCTGGCCAAATCCATAACCGGATACCATAAAAACATGGTAAGAGAACAATATCCGGTATTAGAACTATGGCCAATCAGATGCCAGTTTGATATGGATTTGGCCAGAGCCCCTCGTCGCGCTCAGTCGAACGCGCGTAAGAAGGGCTCTGGGTACGAGAATAGAGGAACACAAAATAAACAATATGCCGAATATGGCCTCTAGGAAGTTTTCCTATACATTCCTAAAGTTATTTGTGCAGCTTGAAACGCAATAATTATAATAAGGCATCTTTTAATATATATTTAGCTCGCTCACTATAACTTCTTGTCCCTCCAAACGTCCCTGCAAACATCAACTAGACCCAGTCCTCTGCTCGATTGGGAAATGGCTAATACTAGTGTCCCAACGATTGGTCAGGCAAACTTTTCAGCTTGCCCGGTGTGGATGTACACTCAGAATAACACTACACAATCATATTCACCTGAGTACACAACATCGACATGCACAAAAATTAATATTAAGCGAAAAGCTTAGAACGTATCGAGTCCGCGACTGAGTGTTCAAAACTTCAGTTCCCTAACCAGGTGATCTCGTGTTCGTATTTTAGCTAGTCAGCGCTCAGAAAGGGTTGTCCGAATAGAAATCCATTTTGATGTATTCAGTCAATTATATCTTTCGTTATTCTTTATGAAACTAGTTGAAATTTTGTAATTATGTTTGGTTATGAGAACTATAGCTCTGACAAAAATATGGAATCGAAATAAATTATATTACAGGAGATATTCAGTTGTTTTAATCACAAAATGGATTTCTATTTGACAACTAGTGCCAGCACTTTTCCGCGTATCAAGATCATCTGGAATGTAAAGCATCTCGTAGAGAAGGCACTCATACTTTACTACTATATATTGTCAATAAAAATGTAAAGGTATGTAAACCTTCTGCAAGTGTCTGTTACATGTAATATGTTTAAGTAAGAATCATTCCACTTCTTTGAAGGCGATGAAAGCTATGACTGGATAGCAACAGACTGGTTACGGAATTGGCTAGCTGTTGAACGCAAGGAAGCTGCTCCCATCGACAACTCTTCGTTGGTCTGCCAACATGGAAAGTAAGTAACATACATACACTGACCATGTACGGTGCCACCAGTTAATCCAGTGTTATATACTCTTAAAAAACGCATTAATAATTTATGAGGAAACTACAAAAAAAATCACTGCCGTCTCGGTGGTTTTATATGTGATAAAAAAATCGTGTTCATTTACATAAACTTTAGCTTTGCTTTTCTCGGCTTAGACAACGTTTAGTGATACTGTAAAAGTGGCGCCATATTTCTCAATATAAGCGAAACTTACTGAATTTCAGACACCATTTTCTCTTTGGCGTATACCATCTAAAATCTCTTCATTTTAGCGTAATGTTATAGATAATTAAAGCACTAAACATAGTTTTTAAAGTTTGCTTGCCGCTTGAGAAACGTATTTAAATATAGTCATAACCAAGTGGAAAAGTACATTCATTAGTTTTGAGCCCGTGTTACGTAACATACAAAAAGATTCTGCTCTTAATACTTATTTATAGGTTACATCCAGACAAAGTATTATGTGCGAAAAGAATATCGACGAAAGCGGCGTCATTTCTCTATAAACGATACGGAGGAACGCCTAGATTAGAAAGGTCAGTAATGCTTAATATAAATAACTGTATGAATAAAATTTAAATAACTGTATGAAACCTTTTCACTTTTTAGCGATTCGTTTTGTTTGGAATGCGTGAAAGAGAGATGTCGAAGTCTACAGTTCTCGTCGCATTTAGCCGAAGATCAAAAGTTCTTTGTCAAAGCTTTGAAAGTTTCCTGCGAAAAGTATGTTTACTTATATTACAAGCACAAGAATGTACATTGTACAAACTTAAAACTAACTTTATTTATATTGTACGTATAACTATATCAGTTCCAAACTGTTCTTCATAGAGCTTCAGTAAGAGATATATCCCTTATTCGACCAGTGTTACTACAGGAGGAAACCTAAATTGAACTAACGTTATTCATACTGGATATATCCATCAGTTCGAACTGTTCTCCCTAGAGGACCAGTCACATAGTCATCCTTACTTTTGTCCACGTTACTACGGGAGGAAACTAACTCTATTTAGTATAAACCTACTAGTAGGCTATCACATATCGTGGCTTCTGATTGGCTACGCTACTAGTAGGCTATTAGTGATAGCCTACTAATAGAAAATTCAAAATGGCGGAAAATTCGCGTTTTGCACTTTTGCCGAAGTGTCTGATGATTTTTTGGACGACTTGTTGAACAATTCTGTACTAAAAAACCCCGAAAAAGCAACAAAAATATGGAATGGCAATTTTTAAGGGTAAGAAAATAGACAAAATAACATACACTCAATGAAATTTTAAAATAAAAACTGAATTTTGTAAAACACTTTACGCGAACAAAAACTAAAATATTTGTTTACCTTTAGTGGTTTTATAATGTTTTTTTTTGTGTATTTTTGTATTGTGTTTGCAGCCTAGTTGTAAATTAATGTTAAAGTTTATACTAAAACAATTAGACAACTCGGCCTCGTTGTCTATGAGCAAATAGTCAACTCGGCTTCGCCTCGTTGACTATTCGCTCATAGACAACTCGGCCTCGTTGTCTAATTGTTAAATAGTCATGAAAGTCCCTTATTCGAGTGTTCTTTTTAGGACTGGATTTTTGGTCAGCAAGAAATCGCTGCAAAAGTGGAAAGTTTTAGCTCAAAACGTTCAGAAACAACTGAGTCCAAATGGAAGCTCTTCGCCGTCCGACGAGTCGACGAGTACCTCGCGAACACCCGAAGAATCGGCGAAGAGAACGACGACGAACTCCGACACCTCAGACGAAACAAAACCGACGCGAGGTGATGAGAGTCCTGAGGTGGTAGACATGGATACGGATGGTAAGAGAGGGACGTCTGGTTCGGAAGTGGGATCAGTAGGGATAGATGATAAAGAGGAACTGAAATTTAACGAAGACTTGCTTTGTGAACACGGTAAGTGGGGGGCTCGGCAACTTTTTAGTTTTTACCTGTGTATATGCTACCACAGTTCCAGGGTTCGTACAAAACTTGAAAGTCCTTGAATGTCCTTGAATTTGAAAACAAAAATTCAAGGCCTTGAATGTCCTTGAACTTGTAAAGAAGTACTTGAAAGTCCTTAAATTTTTCTTGCTTTAGTTTTTGGATATTTTCTGAAGTTGTTTGACATTCAAAACGGACATTTTGTTGAATTGATTTTGTATGTTCATATCTGACAAAGCTGTTTGAAACTCATTAAAGTTACGTTTTGAACAATTCAACGTCACATTTTACTGATTTCTATCCCCTATTCTTCAGTATTTAGTCCTTGAATTTTCTGATACATGGCCTTGAATGTCCTTGAAAAGTCCTTGAATTTGACTCTTCTTCATATGTGCGAACCCTAGTGAGTTCGGACACGAACTTATTTTCAAATATTGACATTCAACTGCTGTCATATACTCTAGGTTGCTTGTCGACATCGACGGTATCAAGACTTGTTACGGATGAAGTTTGGAAAAGACTTCGCTTTTACTTCCCAGAAGCTCCTGAATTTTCTTGGCGCGAAACAGCTTGTCCAGTTTGTAATGTAAGTATATAATGGAAGTATATTTTTTAACAATTACCAATCTTTTATTAAAATTACACATAGTTGCATCTGTTTATTTGTTTTCCCAACGAATTCATACGTTCCTATACAGTTACAGTTTAACTTTTGTTCAGCAAGATATCCGTCCTTCAACTAGGGCTAGTTCAATCTCCCCATCAAAGGAATTAATTGGATTGTGAAGAGAAGATCTGATTATCGCTGATTTTCACAATGAAAAGCCAAGTCGGCACCTAAGCCGCCAGTTTATCGTCTTGCTATATGGCTTGCCGTGTTTTTCAACGATCAAGGATGCAATTGTCTTGTGGACCACGTTTCCAGTGGCACCCATACCACCCGCTGTCGAAAAGACGAGCGGAGAAAATGACCCGTGTTCTACTTCTTTAATTCTTTTGTCGTATGCTTTTCTTTTCTCCAGTTCATTCCTACGATAGCATTGAGAGAGGGAGGTATATGTCATGAGTGCTATTCACCGGATTGACAAGCTATAAAGCCGGTTACAGACGAGCAAGTTTTCTAAGACAAATTTTCATATGACAAGTTTTATTTACTGCTGTGAATGTGTCAGAAAAGGTGTTTATCGCCGCCATTACAGAAAAATTATAATAGTCCGATGGGCGATGCCCAATCACATCAAATGCTCAGATTACTTTCACAAGTTTTCTTTGTCGACCCATACAGACAAACAAAATTTGTACTTTGACAATTGTTTCTATGACAAGTGCACTTGTTCAAAAGCTAGCATTCTAGCTTTTGAAAAAGTGCACTTGTCACAGAAAAACTTGTCAAAATTGCGCGTACAGACGAGCAAATAAAACTTGTCACATAAAAACTTGTCATAGAAAACTTGCTAGTCTGTAACCGGCTTAAAATAACGGATATCGACCCTCGTCAAGTCCAATTTTTGGGACTTCCCAATTCCACTAACTATTTTTAAACAAAAAAATTTTCCTTCTGTTTTTAGATACGTGATATAGAGGAAGCGAAAAGAATCGAAGATCTAAAGGAATTAGCTTCACAACAGAAGTCTATTTTAAGTTGCTTGTATAACGAAAAAGAAAGACCAGAATTTGAAAAGAAGGTAGGGGTGTTTAGTCTTTTGTATTACAGGAATAAGTTAACAATAACGTTTTTAAGACTGGATAACTCTGTCAGTACTATGTTCCTTTCTGAATCTCCAGTAAGTACCATTCCTTATTGCCTCAGTGTTACCATAGGAGGAAACGAACTCTATGCTGGATAGTGCTCTCAGTTCTAAACTGTTTTCACTAGAGATCATTTAAGAGACTAAGAACCACACCAGCTTTACTACAAGCTTACTACAAACCTATTGCAAACACATACTGTTGACAAGTTGTTGGAACAACAATGTCACAACTTGTTAACAGGCTTGCTACAAACCTATTGCGAACACATCTTGTTGAAAACTTGTCACAACTTGTTAACAACTTGCTACAAGCCTGTTCAGGAGACATCTTCTTGACAAGTTGTTGCAACAGGATTGTCACAACTTGTTAACAAGCTTGCTACAAACCTATTCCAAACACATCTTGTTGACAAGTTGTTCGAACATCATTGTCACAACTTGTTAACAAACTTGCTACAAACCTGTTGCGAGAATTGTTGTTGACAATTTGTTGGAACAGCATTGTCACCAATTGTTAACAAGCTTGCTACCAGCCTGTTGAGGAGACATCTTGTTGACATGTTGATGGAACAGCATTGTCACAACTTGTTAGCAAGCTTGCTACAAACCTGTTGCGAAAAATCTTGTTAACAAGTTGTTGAAACAGCATTGTCACAACGTACTTGTTAACAAGCTTGCTACAAACGTGTTGCGAAAAATCTTGTTAACAAGTTGTTGAAACAGCATTGTCACAACGTACTTGTTAACAAGCTTGCTACAAACCTGTTGCGAAAAATCTTGTTGACAAGTTGATGGAACAGCATTGCCACAACTTGTTAACAAGCTTGCTACAAAGCTGTTAAGGAGACATCTTGTTGACAAGTTGATGTTGATTGTCACAACTTGTTAACAAGCTTGCTACAAACGTGTTGCGAAAAATCGTGTTGACAAGTTTTTGGAACAGCATTGCCACAACTTGTTAACAAGCTTCCTACAAGGCTGTTGAGGAGACATCTTGTTAACAAGTTGTTGGAACAGCATTGTCACAACTTGTTAACAAGCTTGCTACAAGGCTGTTCAGGAGACATCTTGTTGACAAATTGTTGAAACAGCATTCTCACAACTTGTTAACAAGCTTGCTACAAGGCTGTTGCGAAAAATCTTGTTGACAAGTTGTTGGAACAGCATTGTGACAACTTGTTAACAACCTTGCTACAAACCTGTTGTGAAAAATCTTGTTAACAAGTTGTTGAAACAGCATTGTCACAACGTACTTGCTAACAAGCTTGCTACAAACCTGTTGCGAAAAGTCTTGTTGACAAGTTGATGGAACAGCATTGCCACAACTTGTTAACAAGCTTGCTACAAAGCTGCTAAGGAGAGATCTTGTTGACAAGTTGATGGAACAGCATTGCCACAACTTGTTAACAAGCTTGCTACAAGGCTGTTAAGGAGACATCTTGTTGACAAGTTGATGGAACAGCATTGTCACAACTTGTTAACAAGCTTGCTACAAGGCTGTTGAGGAGACATCTTGTTGACAAGTTGTTGAAACAGCATTGTCACAACGTACTTGTTAACAAGCTTGCTACAAACCTGTTGTGAAAAATCTTGTTAACAAGTTGTTGAAACAGCATTGTCACAACGTACTTCTTAACAAGCTTGCTACAAACCTGTTGCGAAAAATCTTGTTGACATGTTGATGGAACAGCATTGCCACAACTTGTTAACAAGCTTGGTACAAGGCTGTTAAGGAGACAACTTGTTCACAAGTTGATGGAACGGCATTGTCACAACTTGTTAACAAGCTTTCTACAAACCTGTTGCGAAAATTCTTGTTAACAAGTTGTTGAAACAGCATTGTCACAACGTACTTGTTAACAAGCTTGCTACAAACCTGTTGCGAAAAATCTTGTTGACGAGCCGTTGGAACAGCATTGTCACAACTTGTTAACAAGCTTGCTACAAGGTTATTGAGGAGACATCTTGTTCACAAGTTGTTGGAACAGCATTGCCACGACTTTATAACAAACGTACTTGCAGGGAGGTGAGTCCGGGATTGGACGCACCGAGGGTGGCTGGAAGTTTCCCGAACTTACCGAGCGAAGCGAGGTGAGTTCGGGAAACTTCCA